AAGGATAAGCCAGTGTCTAAATCGCGTAGTAGTATTATAATCCCGATTTCCATTATCTTATTAAATGAAAATACTAGTAAGTATACGAATTCGTAAGACTTATAAGTAAAGTATAATTTTACATCAAAAATATAGATTTTAATAATTCGATTATAATTCAAAACTTCATTTAGTCTTTTCAAAATTGAAATTGATTTTAAAAAAGTAAAATAATTTTATATGATTTAAATTTCAAATTATAGATTCTTAGAATAAGAGTCTAATAATTCAATTTAGTTTTTTCTATTAAAATTATTTAATATAAAGATATAATATTATAATTTTCATTTTCAAAATTAAAGTTATTAAATAATCTTTTAATATATCATATTATAATACTTAATTAATATATATCAAATATTTCAATTAATAATATCGATATCGTCGCTTAAAAGAAACTTATTATTTAATTAGATTATTAATATTCTTGAAAATTAATTATATATTTATATTTAAAAAAAAATTTCTTTTAAAATATTTAAAAAATCAAAATTCGAAATCAAGATTCTTTCTTATAAATACAATAAATAAAAAGTATTATAAAAGTTAATCTAATTAATTAGGCTCATTTATATAAGCTAAATTATACGAACTATATCGGTACTATACTCGATTTAATAACGTGTTTTCAAAACGTGACTTTTTTTGATCTAATTAACTTTTTACTGAATCCTATATTAAAATAATTTAATTGCTTTCAATTTAATTAATATAGCTTCAAATTCAAAAAACTCTATATTATAATATAGATTTCAATTGATAGAATCAATAAATAAAATTTGAATATTTTTAATCAAAAATTCATTGAATTGAAAATAGTTAAATAAAAATTGAATTTCGAAAGTTCAAAAACCTGAAAACTATTTCAAAAATTATGATTTTATTTAACTATCTTCAATTCTATAAATTTTTAATCAATTCTATTCAAATTTTATTTATAGATTCTATTAATTGAGATTTATATTATAATACAAAGTTTTTTCAATTTAAAACTATATTGATTGAATTGGATTTTCCGATTTCAAAAATTCAACTAGATGATATTCGAAAAAGTGCTTTTTTGGGGAGAAACACGTTATTAAATTGGGTGTACTAGTTAGTCTAGGGGATAGCGAAGCCGTGACATCGAATTCGCAATTAACATTACAATTCCCCGTTATCACCGTCGGTATCCCATCTCACATCCTCCGACCACTTTGGAAGATTGAATATATAAACCTTAACAGATACGTTCATACCTACCTAAATAATGTCCTCATCACTGTTTGAGGTCTTCATTCCAAGCCTTCATTTCAATAGTCAACCTTCATCACAAATATCGTCTACTTTTCTCCCTTACATCTTTGCCCTAAAGCTTCAAAGAGTGCAGACTCAAGTCACTCAATATGGCTACACAGAATGCCTGCGACACTATTCCACCAGTGACTAAAGTTGACTACAAAATAAAAGGTGCATGGGAGACAATTGCTGGAATACCTGTGTACGTCTCAGGTGGGTCAAATTATTTTCTAGCTATTCGCTCATTATGTTGTTCGTTTGTGTTTTGCTTGATTTCTGTCTTCAACTGCAATCACTCCTAAATAGCCTCACTCATTTCACCTCTTCATCTTCAAAATCCATGAATCTCAACCAAACTTTCTAGGAGCATCTAAACCCACAAACGCCCTTATGGTCATCTACGATGTATTTGGTGCCGCACCTCAAACTTTACAAGGTGCCGATTTATTAGCCGCTGCTCTTGAGCCCTTAAATATCGTTGTTATTGTCCCGGATCTCTTCGATGGGAAAAAAGCTCAAGCGGAGTGGTTCAAGGATCCGAGCGAAGAGGCCAGAGTCGCCACAGCTGCGTTTATGGAATTTATATCTGCGATTGACAGATGGGAAAAGCTTGTTGGGGAAGTTGTCGCCGATTGTGGAAAGAAATGGGACGGCGTAAAGGCTTGGGCATGCCTGGGGCTGTGCTGGGGTGGTAAAGTAGGTTATTTTCAGTTCAACTAATCCGATGTGTTCTCATGGTTCTCAAAGTTTGAGTAGGTTGCCGCAGCTACTTCACGCAAAGGGACTCCATGGACAGTATCCGGTCAAGTTCATCCAAGGTACGCATTCTCTTGGTTTCTTAGAATACTGGGAAACTATTGATCTGATATTTGTTAGTCGATTGACGAAGGAGGATGCCGAGAGAATCACAATTCCACATATTGTGCTTGCCTCAAATGGCGAGGATGCTAAAGCCGTGCAAGAATACAAAGATGTTCTTGAAGCAGGGAACGGGGTCGTCGAGACTTATTCAACGATGCATCATGGATGGATGGGAGCTAGAGCTAACTGTAAGTATTTATAATTCTTGACCTGTGACTAAATTTAGAGCTACTGATTAACATGCTACGATAGTTGAAAATGAAGACAATGTCAAGGAATATGTCAGAGGGTACGTACTTCTTTCTCTTTCCCAATTCCCATGAAAGATCTCTACTGATGAGATCTCATGAACTACAGGTATCAACAGTGCGCGGAATTCTTCGCGCAACACTTGAAGAATTAGATTCGTTTCTCGGAATTGCTCACGAATTTACGGTTGCAGTAAATCATTGAAGTTGTCTCAAGAGCAGGTTAGCATTGCAGACATATTTTTCGTATTCAACGCAGCCCATACAATTGTTCATTCCTAAGTAGGACTCTCAGAGCTTGTGATCCTGAATTGGTTATGAACTGGTACCCTTGCCTCCAAGCTTTTGTCGTATGCTTCGATATTCGTGAACTCTTTACGAATGCTTTTACTGTAAAAGCAAATAGTTTTGAATTTAGAGTGCTACCTGTGTTGAAGAGTTAATAGTCATATATTTGCTTTACTATGCATTGATCATACATGCTTCTTTCTGTCTTCATCCCGCCTTGTTGTTTTCTTCATCATTGGTAGAGATTTCCTCTTGTCTAACATTTTTACCATGGTACCGCCGTCTCAAGCCCTTCGATATCCTATTCATACTTGAAATTCGAATGAGTAGAGTACAGGTAAGAATTAAGAAACATATCGTTATATGAAGATTGAATGTTGTTGGATATTATTTCGTGATTGGCACTTGAGCACAGCTCAATCACCTTCTTCTTCTGGGACCCAAGAAACCTTGGAGGTCTGCCCGTTATCTGTGACTATACCATGTACTGTAACGTTTCGTGTGTAATGCACTCAATATCCAATGAGCATGCATTGGCACAAGGCCGCTAAAGTACCACGAAGCATTGTTCCGCTGGCCTCGAGCTGAGCCAACGTATAAAAGTGGGGTGTAAGCACTAGGTATTAGTGTAGCCGTACAAGAATTAGATGTGCAACAAAATCATTGGAGACTCGGGCTTAGATTACTCACGGGAGGTAGCAGTGCAGATACTCAACAGTTACCATCGGACTATCTAGGGCACTTGCTACAACCATTAGATATGACTGCGGGGGACTCGAGTAACTTTGGGATTGTTACACCGAACGTGTCCAGCGCGGGTGCATCTGTTTCACATACTTGTCTGTTGGGATTTATATTGAGTGGCACAGCATAACACTGGGTGGGAGGAGGTTTCCACAAAAGTCAATTATGGCCCAAAGCTCCCAATAACGAAAGACTCCACGGTAGTTACAAACTCTTTATCAAAATCGCCGACGCTCAAGATAATAATGAAGGGATAAGCTCCGATCCAGATGAAGATGCAGCATGATGTCGGTAGGAAATCAAAAGTAAATGAAATCGGCAACTTGTGATACATGTTGTCTTTTTCACTAACCCGCTCGAGGACAGGTCGAATACTTGCTACTACTGATATTTAGACCTGAGTCTTGGTTATATGACCTTGGAACATGAAATATGGAACGCATATACGCACTTATTGTTACAACCCAGGCCACGCTGAAAACACATATCGAAAGAGTACACCTTGAAGGTATATTGGAGTGTATATTCTTTTACATGACAAGACACGCTAAACATGTATTATCGCAACACATGGAGAAGAAGAGCTTGATACTTACACAGAGAAAGAGATTAGAAGATCCTATGTATAGAAATACCAAATAAGCATTCACTCTTCTATTTTCACTCATGTTCTAGCCATTTCGCATCACACCTTCACTACCTACTTCTCAACTAACCATTCGCATACACCCTCTCGCTTATTTCCACCCCTCACTTCCTCTCCCCTAAACCTCCCCACCCCCATCCTACAGGACAAAAGGTTTCGATCCCGCATTCCATTCCCCGTTTCTCTTCCCATGTCCTCACTTGTTCCTATGCGTCACTGCAAGAGGAAGAAATTTGCCTGAAATTCTCCCTCAGATTCATGCAAAATACTTCTCGCTCAAAACTCCCTCACATTACGCCAGACTTACCAAACCGAGCCCAGATGTAGACTTTAAAATCTCACGTTCTTTGACTTTGTTCCAAAGTAGAATCAAATATGTACGGAACCATGTATCAGGCATCTTTATCATTATCATTAATCTTAGAACTCTTGCCCATCATCCATCATTAGCTCATTTCCTTGTATGTGTATTCGCATAGCCGCTTTTTCCTTCGAGGAAACTTGCGCTCCAAGCTCCATTTCCTTGAGCTTCGAATGGCCAATCCCATAAATTTTTCATGTCTCATTAAACTCCGTTCCTATTTCCAATCCAACCTGCCTAACCCATATCGCACATCGAATTTCCTCAAATCCACAACCCCCCAACGGCAGCCGCCACTATCCCCAAGACTGTAGGCAAAGCTTTATGGACATTTCCGGCTTTATTTGTGCTCCTGACTTTTCCGCCAATAGCACCGGCAGCATTTGTCCCGAGGCCTCCTTGGTCAGCCCCAGTCGTACATGCCGCTATTCCAGTCACCAGAAACCCTTGCTGATCATAGCTTTTTGCCGTACTGCATCCTACAAAAATTGTGCTTGTTACAGCGAAACCTCTAGAGTCCCAGCCCGTGATCGTTTCAAGGCCATCTCCTGATAGCGGCGAAGAAAAAGAAGGTGAAGGGTCCACATAAAAGGAGGGGGTTAATCCTGTTGATGTCTAAACACAAAGTCAGCATGTGGGAAAGGTAAAAGATATTGGGGATAGGTTGACACGTACTTATTGGTGAAGCACTTACAGGGACAATTTTCCCCTCAGAAGAAATTTCCCAACCTGAAGGAATGCTTGGCCCAGTGCTCCATGTTACCTCCGATACAGTTTGCGTTCCAGCAACCCAAGGATATCCAGTTCGAGTGGCCGAATTACCATTGTTGATACCAGCGGGGATAGTTGGGGAGCTAGATGTAACAGCAGCAGCGCCAGCAGTTTGAATCGATGAAGCCGATGCTGGCACATTACCGTTAACCGATCCCCCGACAGCTTCGATTGATGTCCAGTCTCCAGATTGATCTCCATATTTGTATTGAGTACCAGTGGAATAATCACTCACGTCAATTGACTGAACGACCATAGAGAATGGACCATTGGAGTAATCGGTTGGACCACGCGCCCAAGAAATTGTCCCTGGCGCATTCGATGAATCTCCTCCTGACCAGGCCCCAAACTTGATTTGCATTGGCGATTGTGGGTATTGATCGGTATCGGCCGTGGCGGGTGTAAGGACTCTTACTACAGTAGAACCTACGGACCAAACGACCTGCTCTGAAGTCCACTCAATAGTGTAGGTAATGAATTCGCCTTGGTTGTTCGCCGCTGGATTGAAAGCTCCGCGATTGTAGTCTGTAACTTTGCCTTTACCGAAATAGTTGGTTTGTACTTCAGTATCATCCGCTCCAAGCCATTCCATATCAATCTCATCTAGGTCGTCGGATTGTAAAACTAGTGTGCTAACAATACCCGCGCCAGGGGCTGCCTTCATTGTGATTTGCACCTTTCCAAACATGATATAGAAGATACTAGAGAGTGTTGGTGCATCGCCTGATTTGGATACCGTGAAGGAAGCGCCATTGGAGTTGTATGAAATATCGCCAGAGCCAGTAAAGGAATTAACTGATCCTGAAGTGAAGTCGACATCGATAGATTTTCCCAGGGCAGTATTCGCAGGACAGCCAGCTAGTGTGAGGTCAGCAAAGCTTCAACAAGATAAGGAAACGAAGCAAGCCACCGACTTGTGAATAATGGGTTACAAGAACTGTAAGTCTGAGCAAAGGTTGATTTAGCAGACAACAATGCCGTTGTAGCGGTGAGAAGAAGTTTGGGAAACATCTTCAAGTAGAAGATATTAAAGGCGAGAAGGCAAGTCGCAGAAAGTCAACTGAATGTCGTACAACGGCCGAGATCAGTGATCTTCTTGAAGGCCGAAGTTCGATTGTCGAGAAGAGCTCCAGATACCTGTGTCCAGAATATTTTCAAAGAAAGATGTGACAAATGTATCGGTGAGTACCCTTAAATGGAAGTGAATATGGAAAATCAACCGTTTCATGCACCTACTCGTGTGGGTATATGGATATATGAGGCTGCAGGAGATAAGTATGTATGTATATACATTTCCAGCCACCTCATTATCGTTTGTACATTTGGATATATGACAGGGACCAATGGACCTATAAACAAGGATTCGATTAGTTCTAGAAAGAAGATGATACACTGTATAGCAAAATTCCACATGGACCTTCAAATCAAGCGTCATCATTTGTTGGACAACTTGAATTGAAGAAAAAAAAGAAATTAATGAAGAGGTTGGTGGGTGGACCAAAGTCGTATACAAAGTTGTGACTTGTTACCGAGTATCTCTTTGAGCTGGAGTCTTGGGCAAATTGAGTTGTGGTTGTTTCTTTTCCATGTATCCAAACACAGCCTCACTTACTCATCCACTTCCTAGGTGCTCGTACACCCACGTGCTTGGTAGATAAAGAAGAAGAGAAGGCTGGGCTGGGCTGGCTGGGCTGGCTTGGGATTTTGGCCCTCGATTTTGCCCCTCGAGGCTTCGAAAGCGTTTGGCACAATTGATTTGGGTCAGCTCCAACTCTCGAGGGCAGCTCGAGGGCAGTCAAATTCAATGAAATTCAATGCTACTAATCGGTGCTTGGCTCTTGGCTGGGCTGGACCGTTTAGCGTCGGCGAGTCGGGATTTATAAAATAAAATAATTAGAGCAGAGGGGAGGGGAGGGAAAGTAGAATTGCGTTCATCAAAAGATTTTAAATTACTATGTCAATCAATCGTCCCCTGCCCAAGATTAATAAAATCAAACAGAAATAAAATCGCGGCTCTGAGCTTGTGAAGGAGATACTTTCTGATCTGTACAAACAGTCCATTGTCGAATAACGACCGCGAAGATGAGTGCGGAACCCAATAATAACCAAGCAAAGGCCGATGTCCCAGAGGAAGTGGTGGAACCAAAATCTACAACGGTGGAGGAATCGAAATCTACAATTGAGCAAGATCCAAAGCCTACAACAACGGAATCACCACCAGTCAAGATCGATGACTCAACTCCAATTCCACAAATCACGCCCGAAGAACCAAAACCTACAATCGCAGAGCCATCAACAACTGAATCAGTAGCCGCGGAGCCCACTACGGAACAACCCCAGGAAGCAGCCGTCAAGCTAGAATCTGTCAAAGAAGCCGACGCGGAAGCAGCCGCTAAACTAGAAGCTACCAAAGATGCTGATGTGGAGAAAGCAGCTTCAACCTCTCAACACTCAGTCTCATTCGACAAGACTACCAAGACACATGATGGCTCGCCATTGTCAAAATTCTATTCAGAATTGCCGGCAATCCTCAAGGCAGCTGAATACAATGAGATGTGGGGCATTGTACTTGATCCATCGGAAACTCACGTTCAAACAAGTATAGTTCTCGAGAAATTCTTGCGAGCAAACACAAAAGACGTTCCTAAAGCCAAGGCTCAATTGATTGAGGCTTTGAAATGGCGAAAGACCATGCAACCACAGAAGCTCTTGGAAAGTACCGAGTTCGACAAGGTCAAGTTCGGTAATCTGGGATATGTAACGTCTTATAATACCAGCGACGGCGGCAAAGAAGTTATCACTTGGAACATCTATGGGGCAGTCAAAAATGTTAAGAAGACGTTCAGTGACGTTCCTGAGTGAGTAACACGTTAGATGTGGGTCGATATAGTACTGATTCTATGACTTAGATTTCTTAAATGGAGAGCAGCACTTATGGAATTATCCATTAAGGAATTAGATCTTGCCTCAGCAACGGAGAAGATACCTGAAAACGGCCCCGATCCATATCGCATGATCCAAGTCCACGACTATCTCAATGTCAGTTTTCTACGAATGGACCCCAGTATCCGTGCTGCATCCAAAGAGACCATCCAAACATTCAGCATGGCGTATCCTGAGCTTTTGAAGGAGAAGTTCTTTGTTAACGTTCCCTTGGTGATGGGTTGGGTTTTCGCGGCAATGAAAATCTTTTTGAGCGCCGATACAATCAAAAAGTTCCATCCGCTCAGCTACGGATCCAATCTTGGCAGTGAGATTTCTCATGTTGCTGAAAAGTTACCAAAGGAGTACGGAGGAAAGGGGGAAGAACTGAAGAGTGGTCTCACAGTCAAATATTCCGAGGGAGAAGCCTCGAAATCCGCCTAGAAAGATCAAATTAACGGCACGATCTATGGTCTAATTCGAGAGGATGTAATGTCATGGGTGGTTAATGTTCTGGGGAGGAACTATTCGTTTTAAATTGGGGCGTTCAATATATCCATTGCTTTGTAGTTGCTCATCGAAGTTTATAAGCTTCATCTGATACCATATATAGCAAAGAAACTATAATATAATATAATGACTATGATATAGTTTGAGTCGTGTAAACATTTGTCGCCTCTACATAGACACTCGATACATACGCAGCATGCATTGCCTCTTCATCTGAGAAGAGAGCAACAATTATCATATTTAATTGTTTTCTTTTGTACGATTCGCCATCCAAATCATTTTTCTGTAAGTACTTTGACTTTGTGGCCATGGGTTTGTGATGAAAGTTCTTAGGTTCTGCTGATTGAGTAAAGGATGGATTCGAGTTCAATGGCATTCATGAGGGGGCCACCGGCTATTCAACATATGACCAAATTCGCAATCAGATTAATTCATCTTATTGCATTTGACATATTGACAGATAGATAATATTATGAATATCTTTGCCTTCTTGAGTATCATGTGCATACCTCAGAATTGTTACAAGGCGGACCTACCGATCTACCGCCAGAGTACCTATCTACCTATCCTATCTACCTACATACCAACCTAGTACTCAGCCTTGTCTCAGTTAGGCTGTTGATAAAAGAAACCCATCAGGGCTGTTCTAACTTTGAGCTCGAGCGAATGTTCATCATTTGGAGCTTGGGTACTTATTTTTAAGTATTCCAAGGTTATACACTGCTGGAGCTTCGATGTTTAAGCCAGTCGTTATTTTTGCTTGTATTTTTGGGGGGCAGAGTGAATCATTTGATAGAACTTTGCTACAAGAATCTTGGTATGGTAATACATACTAGGTACATATGAATCCCTCACTACACTCACTACACTCACTACACTCACTACACTCACTACACTCACTACACTCACTACACTCACTACACTCACTACACTCACTACTTTGATGTTGATTCTCGAGGACGGTATGGTTAAAAGGTCGCAATATCTTATGTCTGAATGGCTGGATGGCTGGCTGGGATGTCTAGATGTCTAGATGTCCGAATGTCTGAATGTCTCGATGTCGATGTCTAGAGATAAAATAAGTTGCTCATGAAACAAGCACGCAAATATCAGTAGGGAATAGTATAAGTAGCAGCAAATAGCACGTAGTAGATACTGTCTGGAGTAATCGAGTATCAAGTACCTCCGGCTACCTAATATCTCATGATGCCGTATCCAACTTATTCCAAACAAGCACGCCCTCCTGCTCTTTCCTACCTACCTCGCCATCATTAACATCATTACGAGTAACCATCATCAGCAAAACGTCATTAGCATTTACGCCACACTTCATTGTGACCACCTGCACCCAAGCGATTCTCTCATTCACATCCATCAATCAAATAATCCCGTCCCGTACGGTGCACATCGTAAATCGTACTGGCTAACCCACTCCACCGTGAATGAACCCACTCCAAGCGTGCATCACAATTCGGATTCGGAAGAAAGTTGGAACTACCTACCTACCAGAGAGGTGACTAAATTATTATATCACCGATTCACCTACCTACCTAGTACAAAGAGTACTTGGGAATTATTAGAATACTACAATCTCCCGCTATCGAAGCCAGGTAAGAACAACACCGAACGAAGGAAGGAACTCATGATTGCCCTACGAAGTACATACACTACACTTATGCTACAGTACTCTACACTTCCCTACAATACAATTCAATACAATACAATACCACACACTACACTACACTACACTACGCTCACTACACTTACTAGGATTTAAACAACACCTAGCTCCCACTACTACTTCAAACCCTTCAATCTTCCATCACACCAATTCACTATCGAGACTCTATCAAAAGTCTATCCAAAGTGTACAATTTTGCAGCAATATTTCGAGATACCATCGCTTGATTTGAATTTACCATCCTCTCCTCTCTTTTGCTCTGCTCAGCACCTACCCCCACCTCTTTCCTACCTTCCCCCCTCCTTCTATCTTTGTTTCTTTTCCATTGGTTTTGTTATTCTACTTCGGAGAAGGTCGTTGGAAAAGTTTAGAAGCTGGTTGTACCTTTTGTCGACCGCGACCATGGATCCTGTAAGCAAAGATTCTGAGCATTCCCCACTTCCACCCCTCGCATGATTCCAACATCCCATACCTACTTTTATGTAGCAAGTACTGCTTGCGCCAACATGGTACCTGACCCTCGTACTGATTCAATCTCTTGCAAACAGTCTATCGATGCAGACATACAATCACCCGAGAATATGATTGTTGATCCGGACGAGTATGTCGAGCCATCGGATAATGAGAAGGATGACATCGCCATCATAGATCCGGATGAACCTAGGCCAACGCCTGCTGATGATTGTACAAGAAACCAACCATGGAGGGTCAGGATACTGAGCTAACATGTGCACAACAGATGAAGCTATAGCAGAGCTGGTATTGCCACCGCTGGATCAACAGCCCCCGATCATAGAGACGGTTCATCATACTTGGGAAATTAAAAATTGGCAAGGGCTCCAAAAGAGAGAACATGGCCCAATCTTTCATGCTGGAGGATACCCATGGTAACCACCTGGAATATACCAAACTTGTGCGCAATGAGTGCTGATGAGATTAGGCGTATTCTAATGTTCCCATACGGAAATAATAGCGATAATGTGTCCTTCTACCTGGAGCACGGATTTGAAGACGGGCCTCCGGACGACTTTGTATGCTGTTTGCAATTCGGTCTCGTTCTATGGAATCCGAATGATCCAACTCTTTACACTTACCACACTGCGCATCATCGATTTACCAAAGAGGAAGGGGACTGGGGCTTTACTCGATTCGTTGAAACCCGCAAGCTTCATGCTCATGTATGGCCTGGATCCAACCCCCCAAGGCCGTTGGTTGAGAGCGGAGAAGCAAATATGACGGCATATGTAAAAATAGTCGAGGACGAAACAGGCGTGTTATGGCATAACTTCAACAACTATGATTCGAAGAAAGAAACTGGGTTTGTCGGCTTAAAAAATCAGGGAGCAACATGTTATTTGAATTCGCTCATTCAGTCTCTATATTTTACTAATGCCTTCCGGAAGGTATGTATTGGCAACTAGCTACCTGGAGGGTCAAAAATTAACACAATGTGCAGGCAGTATATCAAATCCCAACACAAGACGAGGACACCACCACAAACAGCGCATATACTTTACAACGCCTCTTTTATCAGCTGCAGTCATCTTCTGCAGCTGTGAGTACCAACGAACTCACCAAGTCTTTTGGCTGGGACACAAAACAGATTTTTGAACAGCAAGATGTTCAAGAGCTTTCTAGGAAACTGATGGAGGTTATGGAAAAGAGAATGAAGGGGACTGAAGCTGAAAATGTTCTCCCTAAATTGTTTTGCGGAAAAGTGCGAACCTATATCTCTTGCATCAATGTTGACTACGAATCTCGCCGAGTAGAAGATTTTTGGGACGTTCAATTGAATGTTAGCGGTAACAAGGACATTGAAGCGAGTTTCCGGGATTATATTCAAGTCGAGACAATGGATGGCGACAACCAATACTTCGCAGGCGAAACCCACAAACTTCAAGATGCGAAGAAAGGTGTCATCTTTGAATCGTTTCCCGAAGTTCTTCATTTGCAGCTCAAGAGATTCGAATATGATATTGAGCGAGATTCCATGATGAAGGTCAATGATCGTTACGAATTTCCAGATACTTTTGATGCCGCACCATATCTATCAGATGACGCAGATAGATCCGAATCTTGGATTTATAAGCTGCATGGGGTCCTTGTACACAGCGGCGACCTCAATGCAGGACATTATTATGCATTCATCAAGCCCGAAAAGGATGGGTGGTTCTACAAATATGATGATGATAAAGTAACAAAAGCCACAATGCGAGAAGTTTTGGAGGATAATTACGGAGGAGAGATGCCCCTTTTGAATGGTCAAGTTTATGATGCGACACAAAAACCTATCATACGACATAACAGCGCATACATGCTTGTCTACATTCGCGAGGCAAGACTCGATGAGGTATTGCTCCCCGTAACGAACGCCGATACGCCAGCTCATCTCCGTAAGTTGTTACATTCTAGCCGGCCTGGAACTAAACTAATACCATTTTTAGAAAGAAAACTTGAAGAGGAGGCCGCTTTCAAAGAAGCACGACGGAGGGAACGAGAAGAACAGCACTTGTACCTTACTGTTAGGGTGATTACCCAGGAGACCTACGCAGCCCATGGTGGACATGATCTTACAGTGTTTGACCGAAGTCATGACGAAGATCCTGCGGCTGCTAAATCCTATAAACTCCTCAAGAAGTGTACTATAAGAGAGCTCATCAAAGTGATTGGTAAGGATACTGGAACTGATCCGAGAAGACTACGAGTCTGGTTCATGGTCAATCGTCAAAACAAGACAACAAGACCTGATACGCCTGTTCTGGACTACGATCAAACCATTGAAGAAGCTCACCTGAAATTAGCTGGTAGTAAGACACAAGAGCTGAGGCTTTGGGCCGAAACAGCCGAAACAGTTGATTCTAACGGTGATGCGGTGTGGCCAGCTCATCCGTTAGTGAAGGAAGGGTCGTCTCCAAGTAGATCTGATGAAATTGTCATATTTCTCAAATGGTTCAATGTTGATACCCAGTCTTTAGTTGGATGCGGTCACATTTATATCAGTAGCCAGAGTAAAGTTGAAGAATTGGCCCCGTTCATCTTGAAACGTATGAATTGGCCAGAGGACACTAGATTGAAGCTCTACGAGGTATGATTGGTGCTTTTTTACAATTTTTCGTATTTTCTGACATCGCATAGGAGATAAAACCGGACATGATCGAACCTATGAAAGCGAAACAATCACTCAAGGCAGCAGAACTCCAAGATGGCGATATCGTTTGTTTCCAGAGAGCTTTGGAAGGAAGTGGTGGAAGCGAGTGAGTTCCTTGATTGAACATTTGAGAAAGTAGAATGACGCTAACTGCAGCAGTGGCTCGGATACCACTACCATGGTTTCCAATGGCTTAAATCCTCGCCAGCAGCCTCTCAAATCATCTGACATCATAGATGATGCGCGACTATACTACGACTTCCTCCGTCATCGAAGACTCATTACTTTCCATTGCCATCCAACCAGAGGAAGCAAAG